TTGCCATGTGTTTTTGAGCACCTTGGAGCCTGAGCATTCTCCTGGAGAGGCGGGTGGATGCCATCACTGCTGGTTTTGCATCCGAGCCGGCGCTTGCTGTGGTCGTGTGTGGAGCCGGTGGGGAAGGCAGGAATATTTTTAGCCCGCATTTCTGTGAGCTGCTCAGGGGGCCGCCCACAGCAGAGTATTAAAATAATAGTGGGGACATTGGGTAAGCTCTGCAGCAAAATGTTGATATGCAAATTGCCATCTTAAGAGCAAACCTCAAGGCGATTTTTGGCAACACATGCAAGGCTCCAGAGCGGTGTGTTTTGAATAAAGATTACAGCAAAGGGATTTTGCCTGGAGGCCATGCTCTTCTCATTTATTCTGAAGCTTAGCAGAGCTGGTAATTCAGTGTTGGAAGCCAACAGGGTGAAACGTATGCACCTTTAAAAGGGTATTAGATTAGCATTGGTGAAACAAAATGTCACGTCACCTCTGTAACTGAAATTTCCAGGCTTGCAAAAGCAATAAATTCAGTTGTATTTAATTTGCGAGTAGTTCCTGGGCGCTGTCCAAGGAAGAGGTAGCTCTGATGGCAGCAGAGTTGGTTTGGGAGGTTTCGAGGCATTACTTGGTAAAAAAATGAACTTGTGCCAGCTGATTTCACACAAGACTTTTCTCTTCAACTTGGTGGTGTGTGGTTTGGCTGTTGGAAACCTTGCAGTAAGAAATCACATTACATATGAACTCTTTATTTTTGTTGGGGTTTTTTTTCTTTATTTTCTTGGCTGTTGAGTTCATGTTGGCACTATTAGGAAGGAAACAGCAGTTAATTTGTAGAATATTAGAATGGTTTGGGTTGGAAGGAATCTGAAAGATCATCTCGTTCTGACCCTCTGCTGTGGGTAGGGACACCTTCCAGTAGACCAGGTTGCTCCAAGCCATGTCTAGCCTGGCTTTGGAAACTTCCAGGGATGGAACAGCCACATTGCCATTTATAATGTCATGTCAAGCTTCCCATCCACCAATATCCCCAATTCCTTCCTCTCCTCAGGGCTTTTCTTGATGAAGGATTTGAATTCTTTCATTTATTCCAGTTCTTGAGGAGTTCTTGTAGGTGTTTTCATTGTTCTTCGTTTCCTTCACCCATCAATGTCTGGGCATTGATAGGTGAAGGAAAAGTTCATATCACAACAAATATGTTGCTCTAGAATTGAAAAGTGGCAGTAAATTAAACAACATGTGAGTTTTGGAGTTGTTTTTGAATTTTTTAATTCTTGAAGATTGTTACAAATCCATCCCTTTTAGAGGCTGGAGAGGGATGATTTTGAGTGGGAATAAAAGTAGTTGGTAGCTAATTTTTCTCACTTTAAATGAAGCATGGAGGAACCAGGTGGCTGAGACTCTTTGAGAACACATTCTGACTTTGATACAAGTTTGTGTTGATCAGATCTTAGTTCACTTGTATCCTTTTCCTTTAATTACATGTTCCAACACCATGAGACTTTTAAATATCAGATTTTGAGAATGTTCTCTGCCAAAACTACACTCTTTAAGTGCAGATCCTGTTGGCAGGCATCTCAGGAGCTGTTGACTTCTCTCTTTTGTAACCTCATCCTCTCTTGTCGAGTTTTTTTCTCCTTAAAATTCTAAAATCATTTGATAAAATAGCAAAGCTCATAGGTGTGTAGCCCTGTGAAGATCACTGTGACCTGCTTGCATCCCAACACAGCCAAGTAAGAACAAGAAAAACATCTTTTGAGTTTGGTTCAGGCACATCTTGGGTCTTCTTTGTGTCTGTCCTTTGGTGCATCCTTCTCCTCCCTGGCCTTAAACACAAGATGCTGGTTTAGTCTTCTCATGCTTCCTTGTGCCTTGATGAGATATTGATTCTTCCCTCCAGGGTCATGAAACTCTGCTCCTGAGTTTGAAATGCTCCGAGTCTCCACCTCTCCATTATTCTTCCTTCTTGATTATTTCATTTGTAGGAATGTTCTTAATTTTCCCCGGAGCTTGTTTTTTGGTGGTGTATCAGGGAACATCACAGCTGACTGTCATGCCAGTGTTTTTGTCTTTCCAGATTGTGTTTCCTGAAATTTCCCATCAAATCTGTGTTCAACTCCTTCTGCGTTCAGTCTCCTATTTTAAGGTCTTTATTGCAGGAATTATCTCCGTATTCTGTATTTATACAACATTTCATGTGATGCAGATGTGATTCCAAAGTGGTGCCTTTGAAAATGCCTTTAAAATTGTTGTCTTAGTAATTAGCAATCTTGAGAATGCTGTAATTTTATAGAAAAAATTTATTTATATAGGTCAGAGACAAAATTTAAGACATATTAAGACATTATAGATGTTAATACTTAAAAATCAAATACAAATAATTAAAATACGCATGTATTTTTTCTGGCCCTACCTTAGTTCCTTTGGTAGTTATGACATCAGCTGCTTTCTGTGGGGCAGCTGAAATGCTGAAATCTGATCTCAGCAGATAAGAAATATTTTTGTAAAGCTGTGCATTTAGACTAATTCTGTCTGCCGTAGAATGTGCTGAGGATTTGTGATCCTCAGCAAGCATTTGACAGATCTTAACTAGTTCTGCTCTGTCTTGTCAATCAAAATTAAACGCCCACCTCACTCCTTCCTACTTTCTCTCTCTTCCAGCCTTTTTATTTAGGTTGGTCATTGAAATTGCTCATAACCATGGGAACAAGGAAAACCCGCCCCTTACTTTCCAGAGCCTTAGTGTGATATTCCTGTACTGACATTGTGTGAGTTACATACACGATGGCTTAAAAAAAAAACCCCAAAAACCTGCAGGTGGGCAGAGTTGTCATTAATTCCTCCCTGTAATGGAGTTGGATGCCAACCAAAGATCACGTCCCTCTTGCATTCCTGTGTGGAGAATGCAAGAGGGACACAGAGGAGAGGCCCTGCTGAGGAGAAACCACCAGAAAAAGATTGAATTGGAGAAGAAAATGTCAATTCGGGGGATGGAACTGGTGAGAGGATGAGATAAGGAGAAGACGGATGGGCAAGGAGTCTCATGTGCAATGTGGTGTGGTTTTGATTATTCCAGTATTGGTTTTCATCCTCCTAGGTCTGCCTTGGGAGGCAGAGTGATCTGGGAGTTGGGGATAATGATATGTCTGGGAAATTGGACTACCAGGTTTCTATACTTAAGGACCTGAATCCTCACTTGGCAGGATTGGGTGTGCCATGGCTTAGGAAGTTCTGAAAAATTGAAATGGTCACTGTTTTTTTTGCTTGTACAGGCAGTTTAAAAATGCTTGTCCTTGTCCCAGTGCTACGTGAGGGTGATAAAAACTTCTACCTTAGCATCCATGAACATCCTGAGATTTCAGTGCTGGACTCTGTGTGCTGCAGAAATAATTCTGTTTTAATTTGTTGAGACAAATTTTGTCATTTTTTTCTCCCCACCTTCAATTGCAATAAATCACATGTAGGAAGGTCTCCAAGATGGAGATGTGGATTGTTCCCAAATTGCTTGGATGTAAAAGTTTCACCACTCTTTTTATCTGAAGGCCTGTCTCTTGGGAAGAGGAATTTTGACCTTTGGCCAGAGAAATAACAAGGAAAAAGTGTTGTGTGATGTGGCATGACAAGGTGCTTTTGAGCAACATCTTAAAATTTAAAGGTCTTGCTTATTTATCCCGTCTTTGAAAGCTGGTTCTGGGTACTGTAGTTTAACTTAAAGGCTCTTAATCATTATTTTTCCCTGTGTTTTGGAGGTGTTGTCTTTTGAGCGTGTTGAAGTCGATTGTGTAATCAAAGAGGAGGAAAGGGTAATTGGATGGTTTTTCTAAGGGTAGAAAAACTCAAGGCAGGAGCTCCTTTGGCATCCTTTGCTTCTTTCTTTGGCCCCAGTGTCATCCCATGTGATTTTACTTTCTCCACTATCCCATCATAAGGAGGGAGTAGAAGGCTTTCATGGTTAGTCTGGAAAGCTGTCTCCTGTGGTGATGCTTCTCCTGCTTAAAACAAGCCCAAAATATCAGCATTTTCATTAAAACACTTTCTTTGAGGAATAATTGCTGTATAAAGTCTAATATTTTTATTTCTGTACTTTGCCCAGTGTATAAGGGCCTCTACCTGAGTTGCCTAAGCCATTCTTTTTCTTCTTTTCTCAATTATTTTTTATTAAAGCATAATAAACTGCATTAAAAATGTCTTAAATTTCTTCTGGAACATTAGTTTCCAAATTTGGGCAAACAAAACCCACAAAGAGCTGTGAAAGTGTATGTGGGAAATGAGTTTATGATGTCATTCCAGTCTCCAGAGTTATCTGAGTTTCTGGATCCTTATGAGTGCTGTTCCTGATGAGAGGAAATGTCCTCATGTTGCACCAGTGGGGGTTTGGATTGGATATAAGAAAAATTTAGTCACTGAAAGGGTGATAAAGCATTGGACAGAGTGCTGAGGGAAGTGGTGGAATCATCATCACTGAAAATGTTCAAAAGTCCAGTGCTAGGTCCACGTGGTTGTCTCAGTTGTGTGGCTCTCTCTCAGCAATCCCTATATTTGCACGGGCTTTCTTTTTGTAGGAAATGTAGTAAAAATGTAGTAAAAGCATAATAAAACCAATTTAACTGGCTGATAGTGACAATAAAGTATGGCATGGCTAAACAGGGGGAAAAGACAAAAATGCGAAATCACAAATGGCAGAAAATGAAAATCAGTTGCTGTGTTCCGCTAGGCATCTCTTAATGTTTGCACCCTGAAATGAAAGGGAAGAAATGTTCTTTTGTTTCCTTTTTTTTGGTGTGTGTTCCATTGTAAACAGATATTGTGTAGGCCAAAAGCAAAGCTTGCCTAATATATGGATATGTTTAACAAATTCACAGGGTGTGAAAACTCCTAGTTGAGTCTAAAGATACAGCTAAAACCTCGGTCTTGGGAATCCCTGAGCTTCAGACTGAGGGAAACAGCAGATAAAAGCCTGTTTGTGCTTTTCACATCTGATTTTCCTTTTATTTTCCCTTTTACCTAAACAGGAACACTACTGCTGAGCTGGGCCTTGGGTCCATTGGGTTATTGCTGCCAAATTCCCAACAAGTTGCTTCACAGCACAGCAGAATAAAATTGTGGGTGAGGTAATTTTTTACTATTTTCTTTCCTTGATAATCCTTCTCATTTAATTTTCTTTGATTTTGGTTGGTTTTCTCCATATCCTTTGAGCTCATTGGAGGTGATGCTGCCTGTTGTAGAGGAGGGTCTGGAGCTGGGGTGTAGGAATGCTGTGGGGTTTGCTCTTGCAGATGTTCACCTCTGGATCACATTTTCTGCTCTTGCAGTGGTTTCTTTGTTTTAACTGGTTACCATTGGGTGATCTCCATCCAAATTCTCCCCCAACATCTGATCTTGGTTGTTCGTTAAGCTCTGGGATGTCCCCTCCTCATGGCGTGTTGACTTTGAGTTGGGCTTTCTGGCCAAAGCCAGAATTGTTGGGTGTTCTCTGCTAGGAACAGATGGTCAGTGAAAGTTCCATTTTTCAAGATGTAACAGACTGTGTCTGTAAAACCTATGGAGTTCTTTAACAGCAATAACAGTTTTCTTAAACTGCATCTGTTTTTTCCCACCTGGAATATCGTTAACGGTAATTTGTATCATGGCTGGAATAGTTGTTTCATGGGCTCCAGCTTAATAGGAGGAAATAAGTCTTTTCCTGGGTATTTTTGGTTTAGTGTCTGTTTTTCCTTGTTAAAATGTTACCGTAGAATTAGTAAAATGGATGGATTATATATATTTATCTGAATTAACTGATTATCTTGCACAAAGAAACCAAAGATATTGAAGAAATTTGAAACACATCCTAAAAAAAAGTTTTTTAAAATTTTTATAATACTTTGATTTCTCTACTTCCGTTTTCCGTAGCACTTGGAGCATTGGCTTGTTCCAGCCCCAATTCATACACAGAGCTGAAGCGATTTGTAACATTCAGTAAATAATATGCATAAATTGTGCCTATTAATGTTCTGAGTAATTACCAACAACAGAGTAAATATGAGGTTAATGAGTTAACGGGGCAGAGGAACGAAAGCTCTGAGTGTCCTCCCGGTGGCCCCGGAGCCCAGGGTGGCCCTGGTTCTGTTGACAAGCCCAGCATGGCTGGAGCTGCAGCAGTGATTTTGCTGCTGCTCCCCTAATGAGTTCCTACTGCTGGCATTCTGCTTTAAATGCTGGATAATATTATTAAAATCCCACTCCTTGTTTTTAATAGTTGTGTTTAATAGTTTTGTTGTTTCCCCTATTTGCTCTGGTTCTGGGGCTCAGTGATAAGGTGCCTGGTTAGTCCTTGTTCTCTGACTCCTCCTCTGGTACTCTCCTGGATGTCTCCTCAAGGCCACCAGAGGAATTAGCCAGTCTTTTCATGTGAATATTGTGCTTGGGAATATTTTGAGATTAACCCTTGTTTTCTTATTGTAAGATCCATCCTGGCTTGATTTCATTTGTCCTTTGCCTTTTTCTCTCTAAGAGCTCTTTATTGCAAGCTCTCCAGTAGGTCTTGCAGGGACAGAAAGTCCAATTTCCAACCAAAACATGATTATTTTTCTACTCCAATATCTCTCAAGCCCTCTCTGTTTTCCAGGTTAGTGGGTTTTCTGCTCTCTGTCCATCATCTTCCAGCATCCTCTGGCAGTCTTCAATGTTTTATCAATGTCACTACCTCAGAATTGTTTATTTGAGTTTTCTCCACCCAAAACTGCATTTGCGTGGTTCCCTCAAAGCTCTGGGCACCGACTCCCCTTGCTGGTCACGTCACAAACTGCAACCTATTTTTTTTTCTGTTTTAAATGAAAATGCCTTCCCAGAGACCTATTTCGTTTACTCAAGATAAATGTTGTACTTATGACTCTGGTTTTTCTTGTTCCAGCAGTTCTGATTAAACCATGAACTTTCTATGTAAGCAATTCAGGTAGGATATGGGCACTGCACATTGCCTAGATGAATTATTCACCTCTTAGCTTTTGTTTTCATTTCTTGGATATTTGATTTTCTTTTTCATGTGGGCTTATTTTTTAGATTTATTTTATTATTGCAAGTTATTCTCGTCCTGTTTCAATTGTGTAGAGCAGTGATTTCTCTCTCCTCTCAGTTCTTTTGTGTTTTGTCATGAGGTTGACTGGTTAAGGGATCAGGAACACACGTAGTGTTCTTCTCTACCCTTCCAGTTGGAGGGAATGATGAGGGGGAAGCAGGAAGATCCAGTAGATCAATACCTGGCCCTGAGCCTGGTGTCACCAGCAGATTTTTGGGTTTTCTTCTCATGGGACACTGTGTGAGTGAGGCCCTTTGTTCTGCTGTCTCAGTGGAGGTAGGGGATGGAGAACCCTGCAGCAGCAAAGGCACCAGGGTTATTGATGTGTTTGAAACATGGGAATGGCCATTTAGGAATTAGGGTTTCTTCCCCAAAAAGAGGTGGTGGGGACAATAGCCCAGCTGCACCAGTACCCACAGTGTGAACAACAAACAGGAGGAGCTGGAAGCTCCTGTGCAGCTGGAAAAATATGGCACAGTTGCCATGAGCGAAACATGGTGGGATGAGTGCCACAGCTGGAGGACAGGGAGCAGAACGAAGCCCCCAGAATCCAAGGGGAAATGGTCAGTGACCTGCTGTACCACTTAGGCCACTACAAGTCTCTGGGGACAGATAGGGTCACAGAATCATAGAATAGCGTGGGTTGTAAGGAATCTTAAAGATCATCCCATTCCAGCCCCCCTGTCATGAGCAGGGACATCTCCCAGTGTCCCAGGTTGCTCCAAACCCCATCCTGGCCTTGAAAACTATAGGGATGGGGCATCCAGCTTCTCTGGGCAACCTGTCCCAATGTTTCTCCACCCTCAGTATAAAATATTTCTTCCTTAGGACCTATGATGATGGGGTTTTGATGGGAACAGTGCCTCCCTTGCCCTGCACAGCTGTGATGAAGGGCATTCTGAGGGAGAGGAAAGTAGGTCTTGAGCTTTTTTGGTGGGGTGATCTCTCTTCCTTTTCCCCCGCTCCCCGTTGGTAACTGGGGGAGCAGTTGATATGAAGGTTGTCTCCCCATGCTGAGGCTGTGGCCATGAGTCCCATTGCTGGTCAGCCTGTGGGGAAATCATGCTGGTGCTTCCAGATGTTGCAATGCAGCTGGACAGAGACGTTGCTGAGCTCCAGGATGGCGAGACCTCCATAAGGCGAGGAACGTGTTAAATCATGACGTCTTAAACGCTCATTGTTTCATTGGGATATTTTTGCAAACAGAAAAGTGATGCAAACTGCAAATGTGTGTGTGAGTACAAGGGAGGGACTCGCACATATTTCTGTGTGAGGGCAGGGGAAACGACTCAGCTTGCTGCAGCTTGTTGCTAATATTTTGTGTTTGAGTGCTTAAAATTTCACAAGAGATATTAAGACTTGAGAAATGTGTTTTGTTGCCTTGTAAGTGTATGATTAAACCTTCATCATTTTCTTCTTTTTCACTGTGGGAATCTTTAAGTCGTTACGCTTGTTTTCTTCAGGCATCATACTGAAAGCAAAGAGTGGCGTTGTTATTTATTTATTTTTTGGAACGTGCTCCTCTCTGCCTGTTTTATGCAAAAGCACTTTAATTGATCTTGCAGACGGTCGAGAAGAGGACAAAGAAGAAAATATTTAATGCAGCATATCATTCTTTTTGGTTTTGCCTCAAAATGAAAAGCCACTTTGCCAGGATTTATGTATCTAAACACGTTTTATGTAGACGGAACAGCTACATTTTATCTGCCTACTGCAGGAGGCTGATGCAAAGAAATGCCTTGATCAAGGGTATGAACTGGTTCTGGGTAACTCCCAAACTGTTCTAGTGGTGAACACATTGCCAGTTTCTTGCCACCTTGATTACAATTGTTGTATCTTACTATATTTTTGATTTTTGGGGCTATTTTAATTTAATCTTCTTGAACGTTAAAAATGAAGATGATGCAGGTCCTTTCCCTTCTGGGCTGTACTGAAGCACAGTAACATCCCATTCAGCCAGGAGTCTCTCCTGTGCATTTTGCAGCTCCAGGATGCTTTGGATGAGGTGAGAGGACTGTGGCTTCTCTTTAATTCTCCTGCTGCATCCAGAGCTTAGTCAAGCCTGGTAGTTGAACACAGATTGCCTGAACTGCAAAGCATCGCTTCAGTGTCAACACTTCCCTTCTGCCTATTTAAGGTGAAACAACTGCAGGGATTTGATGCTGTTGTTTGCTTCCCTTCAAGGTTTGAAGTCTGAACATCTTCAATGCTGGTGGAGTCAGGAATATTTATGGGCTGGAGTCACCTTGCTTTGGCTCTGTCGTAGTCAAAGGTCAAATTAAATAGTGTGTGTCAGGTCCTGTTCCGTGTTTGTGATTTGTTGTGGCTGAGATGTGGAATGCACACATGAGTTAACGCACACTGCTGTGGTTTGCTCCTTCAATACTAAAGATTTCTGGGCATATCTGGATGTGGCCTGCAAGAGTCAGCTGAGAGACTGCCTGAAAGCTTTCTCTAAAATAGTGAGCTTTGGGAAGCCCTCTGTAGCCTGGGAAGACTGAAAATGTGGACCATGGGGTTGTTGTCACCTTCACGTGCTGGAGATTTTGTCAATTTAATTGAGTTAAAATACTTGGAAGAGATTGATCTTTTTAGAAATTGTGTCAATGTCCTCAATGTCTTGAGTAAGTGAAAATCCCTTATTGAAATAGCTTTTTGATAGTTTGGAGGTTTTCAGCTGCATTCATTTGAAATATGCCTTGTGCCATGACTTAAGAGTGCATTTTCAATATATTTTTGGATTTCTTTTATTTAATATTGAGCTTGAGGAAGAACAGCCCCTGTCAGCCACCCTCCCCGCAAAAAGAAGGATGAGTAAAAGCAGGAAATAAGCAAGAGGAGTTTGTCATTAAACCTAAATCCACTTACAAACATCTAGTAAAAAGGCATCTTTAGAGGCTCATTCTGTACTTTTATTGCAAGGATGGTGTTATACTGCTGTATATATCAGAGAACTGGGTAACAGCACGTCCTCTGTCCTCAACAACTGCTTAGAGCTGTAGGTTTTTGTGTTCAAGCTGATGAATATTTCAGCTTGATGTCTCCAAGGGTAAA